ACCTCTCCAGAGTGCTAAGGAGCAATGATGTCAGTCTAGAGACTAAGGTGTGCCTGCAAATAATCATCATTATTTGCTACATCAGATATCTGGGCAATGACTAATGATGACAGAAGAAGAATCGATGCCTCTGAGTTGTGGTGCTAGAAAAAAGTATTGAATATACCATAAACTGCCACAAGAATAAACAGATCTGTCCTGGAGAAAGTGAAACAAGGTTGTTGGAGGCAAGGCATATTTTGGGTATGTTGCCAGGAGAGACCAATCCTTGGAGAGGGACAATTATGCATTGAAGGGTGGAGTGCAGGAGAGGAAGACTCTGAATAAGATAGACTGACACAGTGACTGTGGTAATTCAGGCAAGTGTGGCATATAACAACAACAACACAATTGGAGCAATAAACGCCTTGATGACATTGTCAAGGATTTCATTTTACTTGGATTCACAATCAATGCTCACACAAGCAGCACTCAAACATAAGGTGGCATATTACATTAGGCAAATGTGCGGCAAGTGACTGATTTAACATGTTAAAAACCGAAGACATCCCTTAGAGTAGCAGGGTGTGCCTCACTCCAGCCATGGCATTTTCAGTTCTCTCATATGCATGCACAAACTGGAGAATGGATAATGATGAACTGATGACTCTGACTTATGTTGTTGGTGGAGAATATTGAAGACGTCCAGAAGAACAAACAAATCTGTCTCGAAAAAACACTACCAGAATGTTCCTTAGAAGCAAGGGTGGTGAGACTTCTTCTCAGTTACGCTGGAGACATTATCAGGAGGGATCAAAGCCTAAAAAAAAAATATGCCACGCTTGCTAAAGCAGAGAGTGAGAGCGCAAAAGAGGAAGACCACAGTGGCCTCCAACACAGCTGTGACTTGTGAGAATGGCGCAGAGCTGAGCAGTGTTTGTTCTGTTAAATACAAAGCCACTGTGAATCTGAGGCTTGGGTACTTAACAACAGCAACACCATATAGACACATATACTATCTACAGCACTCATAGACAAGCTTAGACAGAAATAGAGGTTCTTTGAGCTAGAAAGAGCCTAAGACACAAGTGTTTCTGAGACATACTCGTACAAATCTACTTCACCTTCTGAAAGTTCAATACTCACCTCATTTCCTGGCCTCCCTCTGCTCCAAAATCTCACTTCTACAAGAATGATGCAGTCGCTGAAGACTATTTCTTTGTGTCTCATCAGGATGAAGTGTGACCCCTTGACAGTTCCCTTGCTGCAGAAAGATCTTTCCTCCCTTTCTCGGTGTTCATTATGTTAACAACCTCCTCACCCCTCCACCTGTTGTTGTTGTTAGGTGCCATGAGACTATGACTCACAGTGACGCTCTGAACAACAGATGTGAACCTTGCCCTATCCTGGGCACCATCCTCACCACCTCTAACATGCTCTAACCCAGAGGTGGCATTTACACCTGCTGAGGTTTAGCCTGGCTTGTTCCCTCACTTTAAGTCAGGTCTAGGTTTGGCGTGTCCTGTTACAGTATCATGTCTCTATCAAGATCCTACTGGGCATGATATGCCTGAACATGGCAAGAAAATGCAAGAGGAATGTTATCAGGAATGTGAGCTACCTAATTCAAGGTTGTTTTTAGCTTCAGATCTCATTTCACCAGTTCATCAAATTTCACAATCCCTGTACATTTTGAGATGCGATTTTTTTTAAGTTCCATCAGAATGTCCTGGGTGATGCCACCAAAATTCTGGTAAATATAACTGTAGTTTAAAAGCTACCAGCCCTATTAATATAGATAGTAAACATAACCATTACTAGATATAATTGGCCTCCCGATCTGTGACTTAATGCCAGATCCTGTGACTGCTCTCATGGTGTACAGAACATTCAGGGATGATGCCAACTGGGAAAGCCAGGTCCTGGGAAAAGTAGGACTTTGAAACTACAGGGGAAAAGAAATGAGAGAAAAGAAAAATAAGCTTCTTGAGATTCTATGAAGGTCAGCTAAGGGGTAGAGGAAAAAAATCCCAGATCTGCTTTTGTGCACTATTGGGGACTAGAAGGAAGCACCAGCTTAATGAAGAAAAATTGACATGTGACCCTGTATCTAGGTTCTTTGTTAACATGGAGGACAGAGGAGGTTTTAGAGCTTCCTCATATTTTTATTCAATCTTTTATGGTATGTGTGTATTTTTCCATGACAAAAGTTGTCAAACCGAAAAACAACTATGAGATACCATCTCACCCTAGTAACAATGGCAAAGTTCAACAGAGTAGCAAACAACAAATGCTCTTAAGGTTATGGAGAGATTAAAACCCTTATTCACTGCTAGTGTAACCACTATGGAAGGCAGTATGGTGCTTTCTCAAAAAGTTGGAAATAGAAATACCATTTGACTCAGCAATTCCATGACTATGAATATACTCTAAAGAAACCAGAGCTGCCATTCAAGCATGTATGTGTGTGTGTGTAGATAGAAAAGAGATGGAAGCAACCCATGTGCCCATCAACAAATGAATAAACAGAAATACTATGGTATATTCACACAGTGGAATACTATGCAACACTGAAAAACAAGGAACTAAAAATATTATACAACATGGGTGATCCTAGAGGACATTATGCTGAGTGAAATATCTCAGTCACAAAAGGACAAAAACGGCGTAACACCACTGTTATAAAACAGGACTGACATGGGGGTTGGGGAAAAACTAAGAAAAGAGGGGTTAAATAATGAACACTGAATTCAAACATATGAAGGAAAGAACTGTTTAAAAGGGATATATGATTAGACATTATTTGTATAACAACAATACAAAATGAGAGATGCACAGCAAAGTGGACTTGGATAGCAATGGGGCAGGGAAGAGGAAATTATGCAACAATTAATTATTTTTTTTAAAAAAGTGAACTAGGGGTAGGGAGAAAAATGTGCAATTATGTATGAATGAAAATCCAACTTTTCTGTAAACATTTTTTAAAATCATAATTAAAAAATATATGTAAAAAAATAATTTAACCCCCACCAACCAAATTGTGCAGCTCTACAACTGCATCCCTGCAATTTTCATCCCTGCCCATCCTCACCCTTCTGCTCCTAACCTTCACCTCCTTGTATCCCCAACATGTTTTTTCCAATAAAAACTAAAATTAAAAGAAAAAAATTTTTTTAAGTTGTCAAAGCTAAGAATCTGAGCCCTCCAAAATCAACCCTCCCAAAATGTAACCGCTTTCTACATTTCCTCATAAAAATAATTATTTAATACTGTTAGTTATTGATATGGAAATTATTTCCACAAAGAATCTCATTCAACTTCCTATTTGCCGTCAAATGTTCAACAACACAGATGTGATATAATGTGGTTTTCACTTTAGCAAACTTCAACTTTAAGAAAGGGAATTACTAAATACTATTTGCTTCTATCAACACTACCTAATACTCAACCCAGAAGAACACCATATATCCACAGGCATATAAATGACTTTAGATTTCTGCTTTTTTATAATTTGAAATATGTAAAATACATATGTGATTTATCATTGGCCTTATATTGGCCTTATTCTTGCTGACCAAGGCTGGTGGTGAAAGACACTCACTGCTGGCATTGATTATAAAGCAAACCAAACCCATAGCCACAGAGCTGATTCAGAATCACCAAGGCTCTATAGGATAGAGTAAACTGCCCTAGACAGTTTCCAAGGCTGTGAATACTGTGGAAGCAGATTGCCATCGTTCTCGCATAGAGAGGCTTGTGGGTTCGAACCACCAATCTTTTAGTTAGCAGCTGAGTCCTTAACCAGGGTTCTTTCAAATTATTCTTTCAAATTTATTCTAACTTAACTAAAACCACCTTAGTGGATGGTTTAAAATGGGAGGGAGAATGTCCTGAAATGACAAACCTGAATCCAGTATTACTTGAGGCTACATAATAAGATCAAACAGATCAAAAATGGCAACATTTGAAGATGACTATAAAAACTGTCTATGAATCTACCCGGAGAGTGAGCCACTCTACCTTTAAGGTGCCCTTCATCCCTCTAAGGTTCTTGATTCTAAATTTAACGTGTTAGGCCATTTTAAAGTACAACTACATAGCACATTCATTCTTCCTTGTCATTGCTTAAAATATGCTGCCTTAGGAAAAAAATGTCCAGCGGTCATGTTAAGAAGTACAGCGTTCCCTTTCCACTGGGTGAGGGCTATGACTATACTCATACACAAGATCCAACCGACAAAGACAGCTGACACACTAGGGGTCAGATTCTTTCTTCTGTTTATTTCCAGATGAGACTTTCCACAGACAGCTGCGATGCCAATCTCCCATCAGAATGTCACTCATGCCAACCTTTCCGTAGGCAGCCAGCCTTCCACCCACGTCTTTGCCCTGGCTTCAAGGGTGACTTCAGGAGGACCAGAAAGGCTGCTAAGAGACTACATCAGGGCTTAATAGTGCCACTTGGGTCAGCACAGAAGTGTCACTTGACAAGCCATAAGTCGTACAGTGGTAGGTTCAAGTTCTGGCTCAGCCTTTTCCTACCTGTGTAGCATCAGGTAAGTGCCTTACTGACTCTCAGCCTGCCTCAGGCTCCTCCTCTATAGCAAGAGCTGAGAATATCAGCTTTACGATGCAGTTGCGAAAGTGAAATTAGATAATGGGCAAAAGGGATTGCTGTAATGCCTGCACTATCATCTCTATCATCATCACAAGGGAAAACCTCCAGCACAGCATCAAAAGGACAGAAAGCATAAAGTTACCCTGTATCCCTCCCCTCGAAGTTTTATGGCTGAATATCTACAAAGTAGAGAGAAAGAAAACAGGTTTTTTAGTTTAAACTTCTTTTTAAGTTCTAGACTCCTTATTTTCCTTCACCACTCCTTCAAGTAGCTTCCTTGGTTCTAAGGAACAACAAGCAAGGTTAGAAAGCCTGAAGCCACATGCAGCAGGTAGGTAAAAGTTAGTGAGTGTTTTTATGAAAGGAACCCCAGGCAGAGTAACTCCCAGCACAATGGACTAACCTTGGTTGGAGTCGCACTGTTTCTTGGCACCTGAAGGTGTTGTTCTGAGAGTTCTCATGAGCTGGTGTTCCTGGTCTCCCCTGACACTCTGACTGGCCAGGCACCACGTGCTCTGTCTCCTGCAAGAAGCAACAACAGGATTAGCTGAGTTGTCAGCAGGGATCGGTTCCAGGGGACTCCGAGGCTGAGGGCTCACAGGGCAGAGGATCAGAGCACACAACACGCTGCCCTGACTACAGGAGGAGCCAGTTTGGTGATCTGGAATTTAAGATACCTCTTACTATCTGTCCATCAATATAAGATTTTAAAACATTGCAATAAGATATTAAAAAAAAAACAAACAAAATCCCACACTCATCATTGTTGTCAAGCTGGAATCAACTCATAGCTTCAGCAGGTTTTCCAAGATGATAAACTGTATGGAAGGAGATTGCCCATTCGTCCCCTGTGGCACTGCTGGTGGATTTAAACCCCCTGAGATGAGTCACTTTTATTTTAGCAGCATGACTCCTTACAGACAACAAGACCAGAACTCCCTTTAAAAAGTGCAGAAAAGATTTTAAACTAATTTCTAAAACAAAGGTTTTAACCATATGATGAAAAATCTGATGCTATTAAAAATGTTGCTAGACTACTTCACTAAAAGATACTTAGGGGGGGAAAACATTTACAGAGCAATATATAGTGTAAGCATAGTCTTAAAAAAATGACCATATGCACACATATTGGAGTGACAGGAGCAAAAGCTTAACAATAACTGAGATGTATATTGTTCGATTTTAGTTGTTTCTTTTTAGAGGCTCATGTATACTTTTTTTTTATGATGAGCATACATTATTCCTATAAGGAATTGAGTCTGAAAACTAATTCTAAATCCTTTCTCTCTCTATCACATGCACATACACACACATACACATAAACTCGCACACATTCACATACACACGCACACTATATTGTCATTAACTACGCTACATCAAAAAGAAGCTTCCACATAGGCTATCCTATGATGTAATCCACTCATTAATTTATGAATACCCCAGAGTACAAAATTCTCTAGAGACTATCAGAAAAACACCCAAGCGAAAACAAATCTAGATTTAATCCAAAGACACATCGATCAAAATGGAATGAATCATCTTCCCTAGCAGGTAAATTCGAACCATTCTACATTTGAAACTGGCAAACATTTTACTTAAGATAAAACAGTCCTTCTTCACAATCAAAAGCTTTATCTGATTAATAAGATCCTAAAATCAAAGTTGTTTACTTCTATGAGAAAGCCACTCAGTTCTGAGGACTGCAGTGATATAGTGAAATTGTTTGAGGAAGTGGTGGATCTGTGCGGTATTTCTACCATTGGAGACCCAGCCCCCTTTGAGGAGATTGGACTGAAGTCAGTAAAGACATAGTGGGCCAAGTATCTCTGAAATCCACTTTCCAAAACACTAGAAACTCCCATGCAATTCACAGATTCTGATAGAAAATTTGTTGGAGGGTCGTCTGTGAGTCAAATCTGACTCAAAGGCACATAGCAACAACAGAATAAACTGATGGGACTGTTTCTCAACAGTCATCCCAAACTTGTAAAGCAAAATTATGGGAATTTCAGTTATTGGTTGAATTGAGTACTCCTAAAGCATGTACTGAAATCTATGCATGGGGCCCTCACTGTAAACAGAGATCTGGCTGCCTAGTGGTAAGAAGTTGTCCTGTAATACTAAAGGCATATGGTTCGAATCCATCAGCTTCTCCATGGAAAAAGGAGGGGCAGTCTCCTCCTGGGCAATTAAATGCCTCTGAAAACTTGCTGAAGAGGCAGCTAGGAGTCGGTTCTGACTCTATGGCACACAATAACGACAACGTTATAAAGAGTGGTTTTTAAAAAGAAATGCATAAATATTATTATGTTAACATAGTCACATCTAGGTTGAGGATGCTTCCTCAACCTAAGCACTTCTGAGTAATGAAAAGAATAATATAGACACAGACACACAAGACTAGGATGCACTATGAAGACACACACACACACACACACACACACACACGGAGCACATGGATTTATAAACTCCAAAGATTGCAGACTACGTCATGCTGAAACAGACAATGAGGGACCACCCCTCAGATTTAGGTCCTTAATTCAGATTTATAGACTCATGAATTTGGAAAAATTCAGTTCTTCAAATGTATGGTACATTTTATGTCCACACTCAGTATTTAAAGCACTTCATGATTAAAGAGAAAATAGAGGGAAAGAAGTATAACTGAGAAAAAAAAATAACTTAGGCAGACCAATATAATTTTTTTTTTATTCTGTTCTTCCCAGCTTCCAGCTTCAATTCAGAAGACACAGTACATGAGAACTTTTCACAAACACTTGGCACTCTGGTGACAAAGACTGCAACGTATGGTGCTGCCAACCAAAAAAGAGCCAATGATTTGAAGCACCGGCAGCTCGCGGGAGGAAGACCAGAAGTCTCCTCCCGCTAGGATTTACAGACTTAGAGGCCCGGGTCACCAGAGTAAGTAACTCAACGTTATTTGAGTAAAATAAGGAAACTGGGAAATACTTCACAAGTTTGATAAAGACAAGCTAGACTATCGGTCAAAGGTTTAAGAACATCTCCATTTTCCTCTCCAAATGATTCCTTTGTACTTGAGTGATAATCACTGATAATTGACATTTCACTCCCGAGAGCTCTAAATTCTGGTCTTTAATGTCACTGACCGGTCACATTGTACAGAGCACTTAAACACGCTTGAGATTACATCTAGCATAAATGCTGCCAAGATAAAAGGAATTTATGAGCTCAAAAAACGGTTGCTACCCTGGGCAGAGTAGAAGCACTAAAATCATTTTTTTTTAAATTTGAAATACAATGGTAGAATGGTACTTTGCAAGCTGAGTAAAGTGAAGGAGGAAAATAGAAGCCAAGACTTTTCCCCATGTGTGTCCTCCTGCCACCTGGCCCTGGCCAGCAGGTGGTTTAAAGAGCTGACATCTTTCCCTGATCCCAGCCGTCTTCCCCCACCACAGGGACCTACACTTCCACCACAGACCTCCCAGTCCCACCCGGAGGATTTACTTCTTATCTCTTTGCTACATGCAGGGATAAGAAAATTTAACTCTTACCCTGAGATATAAAGTATCATAAAATATTGTCATTTAAGTCTTTTTTTCTTTTATCTTGATGTGCTTAAAAAGTTACTATTCATTGTGTTTCACACTATTTTTCATCCACACTGTGTTTCATACAATTATTCACATGCATGATGTTTTATAAAATTAATCACCACTGGACCTTGCCCATCATTTTTTGAACCATGTACAAAGGCCAGAATAGTGGGCATGGGATTCAGAGAGAAGATACCTGTGAGCTGGAGAGACTAAAACTTCCAAACTATTTAAGCAAAAATTAGCTGCCCAAGAAGGAATGGTAACATACTATTGTATCTTGTGAGGATTTTCCTGAGTTCAGCTGACTCAATGTAGAACCTGGAAGGACCAGAGAACCTAATTTCGATACAATGTTTTGGTCATTGCTTCACACCCTTCCACATTCTTCATCTGTACAAATCTTTACCTCAAAAACAAAGGGAAAAAAAATTCCATCCTCCTCTATGTGCTCGTCTATCTCTTCTCGCCTGCCAATCAGAAAATCCCTCTTGGGTCTCAAAGACGTATGTTTCCTCTAAAATTGACTTCTGAGATGTGGCCAATAAAAATATTAAGTCTTTATCCTTTTATACTTGATATGTCCCTATACTCACTGCAGTCTGAAACTGATAAAGCTTTATATTTTTATTTAAACTGTTTAAGTTAAAAGGACACTATGATGAATCAGTCCATTGCCTATAACAAGGCCTTGCATTTTGGCAAGATTATTCTCCCAAGAGCTCTAATTACTATATGATTAATACAGTTGATATCTCTGTTATTTAGAACAGTATATAAATTCAACTCTTAGGTTCAACTGGGGGAAAGTTCTATAAATCTTATCATGTTCCATAGCATCCTAGAAGTACCTTACACCTACCCAAGACCATAAAATTAACTTAAAGACCTTATAAACAAATTGAAACGACTGCTTTTCTTTCTGATTTAAAGAACCACTGGATTATTCCATTCATTCCATTGCTTTTGTTTTCTGTTATGTGCCATTGAGTCTAGCATGACTCGCAGCGACCCCATGCCATCTTCGTCATCCCTGACAAACTGGAGCCCATCGCTTCCGTCACTATATCAGTCCCTCTGGTTGAAGGTCTTCCTCTCACCTACCCTCCACCTTCCCAAGCATATTGTCCCTCTCCAAGGAACAGTCTATCTTAGCGGCATACCCAAAGTATGTGAGATGAAGCTTTGTCATCTTTGCCTCCAAGGAGCACTCTGGCTGCACATTCTGTCACTAGGGGGAAAAGTGGTCTTGGGAGAGCTGTCTTTTAAAAAGTTTGGACCTGTTACTTAAAATATTAAGACCCTTTAAATAAAAATGGAGTTAGAGAAATGCTTCCTTAGAACCTTTTAAAGATACTTTCTGGCTCCCATAGTTACTAGTTAGACAAAGAAATAAAATAAAACCTGGGGGAAGGAAGACCTGAGTTCAAAATCAACACCCTTAGAATAATTACACGATCTTGGGGTAAATAAGCCATCTTCCCTGGTTTTATTTTCTTCCTTAATAAATTAAGATATTACCTAGCTTTGTGCTTTGTTGAAAGAATTATTGATAGAAAGTAGACATTTAAACGAACCAGTCTACCTTATTCACTTTCCAAATTAAAGAAAATACATTTTTAGTGTGTGAATGGCTGTGTATATGAACGTAGACACCTTTTAAACCAATATTTCATCATTTCTAGGTGAGTCTTGAGTCTCTCCACCTTTCCCAGTGAGAATAGTAATGTGAAGTAATGACAGGTGACCTACATGGTCAAAGACGTTACAGGCTGTCTTACTGAAGACGTTGAATAATCTGTGATTTATGTATTTTAAAACTATGTACATGAGAGAAGATACTGAGTATCTCTGTTCATCTATTAAAAAAGAAATATTTCAATAAAATATATACAGTTTATAATTAAATAGAACCATGAAGTTTGGAAGTGGTGCATTTTTTTATTA